AGACGAAGATTAAACTTTTAAACAGTTTAATCTTTCCCTTGAAGACGATCACTTGGTGATGTCGAAACACATGTCGAGGTGTTGAAGTAACGGTTTGGAGCTGGGATAAAAATTCAGTAATAAATTTACTACACCAAAGGTTCCCAAGGGTGCATTACAAGTAGCTGTAGATAGACAAAACTTCACGTTCAGTTTTATAATTTACTGTTTAGACGGCAATACACTTTGCTTGTAGAAAAACATTTTATATATTAGGACCTGCTTTTGATTTTCGTCATCAAAAATAGAACTGAAATTTTTTTCCATTTTACTATTTTCTAGTAAACAAAAATATGTCTAATCGGTGACCAGAATGTAAAAATCCGGGCATAAACAAGATTTTTTTTACTTCAACAAGATTGTTCCAGTATTTACCTAAAAAAAACTTCTTTAACCCTTAGACCAAAAAAAAGCATTCATGATCCAATACCAGACAACGCTGTTTCGATGTTTGCCCTGGTTTTATTTTTAAAGGACGACATCTTCGCCATCTATAAGATACTTTTCTTTTAGCTGTTGATCTCATAGATGACGTCTTTGCGGGGAAAGATGCCATCCCTTTTATTTTCTCAGACATGTCTATATTTTCCATTAAGGACAGTTAAGTCCAGCATTCCAATCGTCAGCATAGCACCACTTATGAAACTTAGGTCGGGTCGAAACAGCGTCGAGTATTGGAACACGAATGCATTGTTTTTTGGGATCCAGTTTCAATCAGTTGTCCTGCAGTGAAAACATTGATTAATTGAATTATAGAATATTTGTTGACAGAAACTAATCCGGGTGAATCAGAAGTTTGTGCTTTCCAAAACTGTTCCTAAATGTTTCAATGTTTCCGAAACCATTTGGGATATTTTAGTGATATTTGGTGAGCAGTGACACTTGGCAAAAGTTAATATTTTTAATGAAAAGTAATTTTGGGTAAGGGGATTGATTTCGATATTTTTGTAGGAAAAAATTATACACCTATAAAAATAACATTCATTTTTGAGTTTTCCGTTCACTTTGAAATAAAAAAGTCTTTCCGAGTTTTTTCATACATTAGGTCGTTTTTAAGTAAAAAAATGAAATCCTTGTATTTTTTGACGAATTATTGAAAAATGTTATTGTTTTGAATGTGATCTTTCTACAGCTGTTCAATTAGTTGGGCAGTGACAGTTGATAAAGTTGCACAAGAGCAGAAGTATGCATGCTAAGGAAAACATTCCCAACAATTTTTGTAACAAAACTTCCACGTCAATTATGTTTATGTTGTTAGTTTTAGTAATGTGTTCAATATTTTCAATTAGAATGATATTGTTAATATTATTATAACATTTCTTTTACTTGAAAATGGCCCGTGACAGAAAAAAAAACTCAAGTGAGCTCTCTTGTTTACAAATGAACGGGGGATTCAAAAATAATTTTCATTTGGGAACAAACATTTAACATATCGGTAGAAAATAACGAAGTTAATGGATGAACGCATACCACTGTTGAATTGGAATTGTATCGAAAAACGTACCCAACTTATTAAGTGTCACTGCCTAACTTATTCAAAAACTGAAGTGAGTACAATAAAATTTTTCAATGATATCTTGGAGAATACAAGTGTTTTCTGAATCAGAATCAGAAATGATTAATTTTTGAGGAAGAAAGGTTTTGGCTTTCTACTTGTCCATCTATATACAAAAAAATGTGGGAATATTCCAAACAAAGAAAGCAGTTGATTCCAATATTAACTCTTCACAAAAATGTGTAGATCATGAGAAGTAACTTTCAGACAAAAACTGGAGAAAACGCCCTCTCAAAACAAATACTGTTTTCATATGAACATTGAATTATACGAAAAAAACACTTTTTTCTATTCAGTTTGTACTCCAAACATTCATTATGGAATTGAATCACAGGATTGCTACACAATATAGTATATGAAAGAGGTGAAATTCCACATATATGGAAGACTGTCATCCTAAATGACGGATATAGGATAAGACACTTGCCTCATTGACTCTTCAGCACCAATCTGAATAACACTGAAAGATAAAGCACTCAATTCATTCATAAAATTACTACTTTACGTCACGAATGTGTTGAATCTACTCATAGCATCGGTGACAGTACGTAATGACATTCACTTGCTTATTTGATTTAATTCCAGCCACAGGAATTTTGTTTGATATGAAAGGGTTGATTTTTTAGAGGAGAATAATTTTTAGGACAGAAAGATGTTGGCCTTCTACTTCTCTATCACTCATGCGAGTGATATTGATATTGGACAATTATTTCTTAAAAAAATACAACTGATTCAACTTGAACATAGAAAAAAATTGACCAGTATTCGCCAATAGACATAAAACAGCAAGTAAAATAACAAACCAAACACAGACAATAAGAACAAAAAAATTTTTACAACTTGGCCAAAACGCACCAAGAGGAACAGAGACAGTTCTGGTGTGGGAGAAAGTGTTTTCATTAGATTTATTTTAATCTTGCCCAAGGTTTCAGTTATATCCATCAAGGTTGCGATTATATCTATCAAGGTTAATTATTATGTTTATATATTAATATATCAAGGTTTCAATATTATCTATCAAGATTACTGAAAAGATTGTGTTGACTAACCTTGAAGTAGATATAAGAGGGTTACACTTTTATGAAAGTCGCAATTGGCTAATAAAATTTTACATGTAGAGTCAATGGGAATTAATTTTATTTTTATTTAATAGGGGATTTTTATCGGCTGAATCTTGATGCTCTCAAATCTTTATTTTCTATTAGTTGCTAAAAGTACAGTACGGAAAGGTACTTCGTCTTTCCATTCTGGAAACTGTCATAATTAAACTTACATTCCTTTGATTAAATCTATTTTGCAATATGTGCTCATTACCGAGCTCATTACAAACGTTACTAAAACTTTATCAAATGTAAATATGAATTATTATCGACGTTTAAACTGTGAGGAGTTTTTGAATAGTACTAATAAGTTTCACAAGTTGAGGACTTATATATTTCAGATGTTTTATGAATATAAAACAATATTAGAAATATATCACAAGAACCGTACATGCTGTTTGAAAAGAAAACCAACGTAATAAAAACAGAATTTCGTACACTCAGTTATGTTTTATGATCATAAAAAATTGCGTTATATACATTTAACATGGTTCAGTGTTGATTCCTAGAAAAAATGAGTAGTAGAAAGTTTGTAGGTATAGAAAGTTAATAGTTTTCTTGATATACAGTCAATAAACTTATTCATTCATTTTTCATGTACATAAACTCTGTCAAAAAGTCAAAAAATGCAAAAGAATCAGAAGGTTTCAACTGTTACTGAATATTTGTAACTCTCCTAAATCCAATCATGATTTGATACAATTCAAAATTGAATCACTTTGATTGAAATATTTGAGAAACAATCAATGTTTTGAAAGTATTCAACATAAAATGACATTGATTGAAATATTCAAGAACTCAGCCAAGAACTAAACAAAATGTCTAAAAACAATCATATCACTCAAATATAAAATAAAAACCTCACTTAATTTCATCATGAATATCACAAATGACTTGATAAGACAAATAAAAGTCAGTAATGAAGTAGATTTGGAAATTACATTTTTACGCATTATATATGAATGAAACCTAATGGTGCCATTTTAACAATTTCCATTGACATTTTCAAAATTTTCTACTTTTTTGAAAGCTTTGTACATCATACGTGTGGTAACACCATAGGTTCATCGGTAGTGTTACCGCTACAGTATAAGCGAAACGCGTCTAGAATTAAAAAATATGAAAATTGATTAATTGTTGTCATGGATAGACTAGACATAAGAATAGGTATAAAAAATTTGAAGCTATATAAAAATAACAATGCCATTAGCGGTAAAATTAATGAACCTAATTTTTTATTGTTTAATACCTGACGAGAATTTGTGAGAAGTTCACCACAGAAACCATATTCGATCGAAGGGGCGCTAAAACGTATATCTCTGGAAATCATTGAATTTTTCGTTCACTGGGGTGGTTGTGCTAACTTTATATTAAGCAGAGCCATCTTTTAAAAAATTAAAAACGGCGATTGTTTTCAGACGATAATTGATCAATATAAGTTGCCTAATGTGAAAAAATAGTGAACAGAAAGATAGGAATACATTACTGAGCAAACTTCACAGTTTTTCTTTCTCAACACCTATTTTTTTAATGGAGATATTATATCAATTCTGACCTTTTTTATCAAGTACCGGGTCAGTCCATTCATAATTATGCAGACATACCAGGAATGAGGGAAATATTTTCACTACTAGGCACTTTGACAGAAGAAAAATGTTCGTTTTGTCAGTGTTTCGGTAAAAAGACGAAGGATAGTATCAAATATCCCAGGAATGCTAGCATACATTGAAGACGAGACAAAAATAATAATAATTCTCTTATCAAGAACTGGGTCCTAATCAAGGTCAACATTGCGATACTCGCCAACACTAGACACTACGTCATTGATTCAGTTCTGTATATGTAATAATCTCCAAAAATTCATATTTGCCATGATCACTTCATTTCCATATTTCCTGAACATTACAAGAATTTCCCTCTTCTAGTAATTAAAAATTTCAACATACCTATAGGTACATAAAACAAAAGTGGATTTTAACTCATTGTGCAATGTTTTTCAATTTTATTTACAGAATATTCTGTTCCCACAACAGAAAAATCCTTAAGGTGCGTAAAATGAAAATATTTTTATATTCTTCCTCTCTTGAAGTCATCTTTCGATTCTTTGCACTTTACCGGCTCATATTCGCCTTTCTATTAACTTTTTGGTATCCAATTAACTATCATCCCTAAATATTCATCTCACCTTTCACATAACATTCGAATATTTCTTAAAAACATACCTAAGGTGGTTTAAGAGAAATTCTCATAAAAAATTGAACTAAAAAACGCCCGATTTACAAAGTACGTCTACAACTAAAACTTACACGGGTAGAGGTGTTGGTCAACATTTCGGGAAGATTATTCCAAAGAATAAAACATCTGTCTAAAAAACACTAGAACACAAACGATTGTCTAGGTACGTTGTCACGACCCGATAAACAATTGTCAGTCGATAAAAAATAAACCGCCTGCACAACAAACCCAACAGAAAGCTCGAGTGAAACTAGCGATTCAGCGCGCACAACGCGATGTTTTGTACGTCGCAGTGTTTTGTTTGGATCGATTACCGGCAGGAGCACACGTGTTGCGAAATTTTCTGTCGGGACGATGAAGTATTCCCATGCGTGTTCTGGAATCTCTCAGGACGGAAAAATAATATCGGTTATTTCCTTTTGCTATTTAACGCTGACGCAGTTAAATCAACTGCATATACAGTGAGTGTGTTTATTGTTCCAGCTCAACAGCCCTGAATACATGTATGTTCATGAGATAACAAGAATTTTGGTTTTTTGAAAAAAAAATTATTTATTCGTCTACATATATGTTGCCGCTCTCAAAATAGTCTCCGTTAGATATTTAAACTTGTGCCAGCGCCTATTTCAACCCTCAATACCTCTCAAACTCGATTTTTGGGATAAGCCTTCATCTCTTTCAGCGATGAACTTTTGGTTTCATTTATGCTTGAAATTGCAAAAAAAGTCACACGGAGCTGGGGCATCGTTACGGTATTGTCTTTGACCAACAATTCACGAACAAGCAATGAAGTGTGAGCAGGTGCATTCTCATGGTTGAAAGCAATTAATTGTTTTCCCTCAAATCCGGGCATTTTTTATCGGATTATCATGCAAATGTCGTGAAACTTGTAGGTAGTACAACTAATTGACCATTTGACCTAGTGACAAGAATTCATGCCATTAAAATCTAAGAACAGAGTGAGCACAACCTTCACGTTTGACCTCATGTCAAACCTTTATCAGTCTTGGCGAGCCCAACATGCATAACTTGAAGAGAATTCTGAGTTGTTTGAAATCTTCAAAAAAGTTTAATTTCTCCCAAGTAAGAAAACAGTCCTGAACAGTTCACAAATTTTGAAGTGACAATTGTACAAAATTCCCAACTTTTCGCTGTTTTTTCGACTTGGAAAAGTGGGAAATTTCGGGCCGTGAAGATAGAAAAAATAATAGTAGAAAACAATAAGCACAATATTATTTAAGTGTTGTTTTCTTTCATTTGTATTGAATATTCTTATACATGGTGGATATGGTGGAAGACCAAGGACCTTGGTCTAAAGTAGAATAATTCCCATTATTATTTTTATAATCACCAAAATTTATTTTTGTTTCTGCATACCCTAACGGGCATAAGCATTCTACCAATCTTTGGATAGCTAAATAAGGAAATTAATATATTATAGTAGTAACTAATCCATCGGCCTTCATTTCTTCGAAAGTTGGGAAATTTTGCTGGTGGGGTTGGGAAAATTTGGATTCCTTCCCCTCCCCTGGTTTTTTTTTTGCCACGGCCCTGCTCGGCGGAAGTGATCAAACTCGTGCTCCGCCAGTTTCCAAACTTGAAAGTTACATTCTTTTGGGACACGTTGTTTTTGACAGTAGCCCGAATGAGTTCAATGGAATTCAAATCCGAATGGTGGGGTGAAGTCGCAAAACGTCTGTGTTCAAGCAGAACCTCATCAAATTTGTATCTGAAATGCTTTTTATTTACCTTGATCAACTCGTATAATTCGGGTTTAAGCATGTTAGGGATGAACATCATGCTTTTTTCGTTCAGACACTTCACCATGTCAGCCTTCCTAGAATTTGTGAGGGGGGCTGGATTGATATGAATATTGTGTTATGTAGCATTATCGGTCACGACTACCAAATCCACAGGTAAATTTGGGACTAACTTTTCTTGTAACCATTTACCATAATTTTCAGAATTCATTTCTAAATGATAACTTCCTAATGTTGTGCCTGATTTAAATATAAACCGACAATTAGGTATAAATCTCATGTCACCTCCTGCACGGACAATAATGAGTCTTAGTCCCTTCGCAATAATTTGAAATGACCCTTTGTGCGAGCTAAGGATTAACGAGGTCTCACCTTTTAACGTGTGATTCCTAACATGGGTTAGACGATAGCAAGTGAAATTCGATCGTTCAGACTAGGGCTTGAACCACCGACCAACACGGCAGTCAATTCAAGTGAGTGAACAAAGCACCCACGTCGAACCTCCTGACTACCGACCTACCTGTTTCATCATAATTGGTCGCTGGTGACTACGAAAATAATTGATTTTTTGTAAATACTCGGATCCTCAATGCTCTTTTGTCCATTTTCTCAATTGAAATTTCATATATTACTTTCAGTTCTTCTCCATTTGAAACCTATTTTCTTTAAAATTCTACATAGAGATGTTCCAGAAGCCACAACGTGATTAATTTTGTGTTGGAACTTTTTACCGTAATACGACACCCTTCCGTCTTATGAAAGTCGTGAATAATCCGTCTAGTATCGGAATACTCATACTCAGGAATATCAGTTACTGGTGCTCTTCTAAGCCGCTCCTTTCTTGGGGTGGAAAATTTTACTTTTCCGTTATTTGCAGAAATTAATTGCTCTCCTTCTTACACCACTCTTTTAATGGTTTTTATTGAAATACATAATACAAAATGAAGATGTGTGTTGGGATAGTTATTTTTTATTTTTTTTTAATGTTGCCTGTAGCGGGAAATGTTTTATTTTTCATATTTGATAACGTATTCGACTCACATTCAACACTTTGAAAATGATTGAACACTTTAAAATGTATTTCACGTGCCTGATTCTTGATGACTGGTTTTTTGTTAGACGATGACATTTTTTTCAGAAACAACACAAATTATTCAGACAATACCAATCGCCAACAGTATTGGAGGACCAGTAATGATACGCCTGTGTACAGAACATTTATATGTCTTGCAAAAGCTGTAGTGGGGGTTACATTGAAAATGAGTTGTGCGCATGGGGACGGGCTCGCCATCACGTTTGGCGCTTGCTATAAACATACTTCAGGGGTGTAGATATCAACATAATGAAACGAGACAATTTCCAAATCCGAGAAATTTAAAAATTCCCTTTTTTTTTTCTCGTAATCTCCTTGTAATTCGCCATCCTCACATCGATTTGAGGCCAATATTTTGCTACAACACAAGGGCGTTCATTGTTGCTCAGACTTTTTCAAACCCGACCAAATGAATTTAGCTTCTTTTCCAATTATTTCATTTGGCGAATATCTTTCAATTGGCAATAATCGGACTTTGACAAACGCTGGTTTTGGTCGCAGAGTATGTTCTCTGCCATTTGGGGCTGAATTTTCTTGTAAAAAGACAGACCATGATATATTTCTGTAACTTCAGTGATGACCTGATCGGCGGTCAGTCTGCGATCAAAACAAATGTAGGTTGATCCTATAGATGGCTGCATTGGTTTTACTTATTCAGGTTTGTCTTTGAAGGACAGTTGGGTACTGATGAGACCTTGGCGGGTCGAAATAGCGCCTTTTGGTGTTGGATTACAAAAGTTTCGTTTTTGGCTTATGGTTTCAATATGATCCAAGCGTGCTAACCAAAAAGCAAAATAAAATAATAGCAGGAGTAAACCTATGGGCTTTGGAAGATGAAATGGAAGATGAAAAAATTTTCCTGTGCACATTGTTGAAACATGAAAATGTTTCAATATAACGAATAGTAAATGTTTTTTCATCCCTTTTATAAATAGCCTTACCAAAATTTGGTAAATTATTGTAAAACTTTTTAGACAAATTCATTTTGCTGTGTTTGAAATCTATATCCGACCAAAACTTGGTCAAATCTAAGCAAATGAAAATCCAAACTGATGGAAATTTCAAATAATTTTCATTTCGCCAAAATCACACCCTTAGGACTGAAATTTGAAATTAAACATGTCTGTTCGTGCCTTTACATTTTAAACACATTTTTTGGTTTCATTTTATTTTTGTGAGATATTGCATATGTTCGCAAATCCAAAATACAAATTATGAAATTATAAAACAACAATAAAAATTAATTGGCGCTCCGGAGCGACTTTATTGATTCCAGTGGCGCTTTTGATTTTTCAGCTGCAGAAAAACCCGGAAAAACCTGAAGATCTTGATCTGCCAATGTCCTCTCTCTCATAAAACAAAATGTAGGGTGTGTCTAGAGGCTCCAGTACACTTCGTGACACAACTATCATCAAACTTAAACCAGTCCGTTTCATCTTTAACCAAGGCGTAATAGTGACCAAATTCAACGCCAGAACCACAGTGAACAATGACTGCAAGAATATTATAATAGTGGTCTGCTAGATTGAAGTGTTCATCTATTTCGGACCTTCATAAGAGTTTGTTGCTTCCGTCAGAGGTTGAGTCATGTTTGAAGATCATCATTGTTATTATTAGATTGACTTGTGCCTCAGCTATACTTGTTTCCTTATAACAGTCAGTTAGTTTGGCGCATGTTTGGCAATATAGTCAATCATCACCTGTTGAAAGTTCCATTTTCAGATGATTTATCAAAATTGTAAAATTCATGTCCTGTTCGTTCATACTGTATGAACACGCCTGAGGAAGTGGAACAGTTGCGGTTTTGTAAACTGTCCAATGAAAATCTCACAATAAAGTGCTATTTGAATACATTATAGAGTTTCATCGACTATATTAGGCCGATTCCATCACATTTTCCGCTGATGATGCTATTTTGGTTAGCGAAACGCTCGTCGAGATACTAGCTCGGGTGTGGGCAGATGTTTCATCAAATGGGGAACCTTTGACAAATTCAGAATGAAGTAGTTTACTGACTTTTCACTGTTTTATTTTTCTTTTCAGTTGAAGGTCAGTTTTCAGTCCATTCTTTTCTAGAAAGTTTCAATTTTTTCAGTGTGTTCATGATTGCATATTTAGACAAAAATAGTACTTACTTTATTCAACGAGCAAGAAATGTGGCCATTAGGTACTCATGAGAATGTAGTTTGCCAATTTCAGCCGAAGGCAATCGTCGTAAATCATTCAAGCGAGTTATAGTCATTTTCTCAAGCAGAATACTGTACTATTTCTATAACTTAAAACAATAATATTTCAAAATGAAATTAATTTATCCGTGTTAGGAATCACACGTTGAAAGGTAAGACCTCGTTAGTTCTTAGCTCGCACAAGTTTCTCAACTTCTGAGAGTTGTCGTTCGTATAGGGGTGACAGCTGATTAACGG